TATTTAGTTCATTCATTGTGGATATTTAGTTCATTCATTGTAGATATTTACTTCATTCATTCACTGTGGATATATAGTTATGAATTTATGGATATATAGTTATGAATTTCTGGATATATAGTTATGAATTTATGGATATTTAGTTCATTCATTGTGGATTTTTAGTTCAATCATTGAGGATATTTAGTTCATTCATTGTGGATATTTGGTTCATTCATTGTGGATTTTTACTTCATTCAGTCACTGTGGATATATAGTTATGAATTTATGGATATATAAAAATGCTATTGCCGGGAATCGAACATGATTTCTTCTTTAAGTGGGACTCGCGTTTTTTAACCAAAACAACGTCGTTTTGCATCGAATGCACCATGCGCATGGTGCATTCGATTGCACAGCATAATTTGCGACAGGCGGTACAGCAGTTGAGCCCAAAGGCACTGGGAAGCCAGAGTTTGCAACATGCATTGGTTGTGACTGTGGGTTTTGGAATGGTGGCCTGGGAGACGTGCATTTCCACTTTATTCCACTAATTCATCTCCGAAGGAATTGCAATTCCTTTCCCAATCAATTCTCTCTCTCCAACCAAATGTCCCGAAACTGTTATAGGAAAAATAAATAAATAAATATTTAAGCAGTTTAGGAATGGCAATTTGCCCCGTCCCCGACGGAGATGTGGAAAATTTTTGGGAAACGGGGATACCACTCCCCGCCTCGTCCCGTCCCTGATAATTATTAAAATTAAAAAAAATTATATATATATATATATATATATATATATATATATATATATATATATATATATATATATATATATATATATATTAATTTTTTAAATTAGAAGTTAGGTTTTTAATTTTTAAAAATTAAACTAATTTAAAATTTTGACTAAAAGTTAACTGGGGACGGAAAATTTCCGTCTCCGTCTAATTCCTCGCGGGGACATGGACGAAGTTGGGGTTTTGGGGACGGGGAGTATACTCCCCGCCCGCGTCCCACCCTGTTTCCATCGACACATAAAATATAAGGTAAGATGTTTACAAAATATTTTTTTTTTTTTTAAACTATTTGTAAGGGCAAATTATGTTGTGAGCACGAGCTCACCATGCACATGGTGCACACGAATTTATATCCATAATTTTTATACTGTATATCCATAATTTCTATAGTGTAGATCCATAAATTTCTAGAATCTCGGTAAGCTAAAATTATGAATCTAAAGTATAAATTTTAGTTCAGCGAGAGTCTCAAAATTATAGATATACAGTATAGAAATTATGGATCTACAATATAAAAATTATGGATATAATTTTGTGCACACCATGCAAGGTGAGCACGTGCTCACAGCATAACGATTGATTTGTACGACAGCAGGCCAATTGGACTTTTAAATGTGCTCAAAGCCCATAAGATTGTATTGTATATGCATTCTGGTTAACCATGAAATGCAATAATGTTGAATCCCAAATTCATTGGCAAATTATATCATGCACCGCGGTGCATGATCAATTATGCACCACACGTCTTTTTTTTTTTTTAAATGAAAAGAAACGGTGTTTGTTTTTCGCCGTCGCACTCTTTTGCAAAACGTAACCCTGTTATTCAGTGTCATTTTGTATACACTGCAGTTTCAGTTCAACACAATTACAGTTTCATTTCGATATAACTATAGTTTCATTCGATATTTATAGACTCAAATATGTGAAAATGTTATTTAATTTTATTTTATATACACTATAGTTTCATTAAAACACAACTACATGATCATTTTGATATTTTTTTTTTTTTGGTGTAAATGATCATTTTGATATAATTACAACTTCATTATACAATATACACTCAAATATGTGAAATGTTATTTTGTTTCATTTTATATACACTACAGTTTCATTTCGCTATAACTACAGTATCATTTTGATATAACTGCAGTGTCGGTTTAGATATACTGTAGTGCCAGTTGGTGTTTAATACACCAAACAAGCGGACTCCGTTAACTATAATGACGGGCCGTTTCTTTACTTAAAGATACGGTGCCGTTTCACCGCGGTCTATGATATAACGACTGAAATTCATTGCTCCAAGCCAAAAAAAAAAAAAAAAAAGCTTACCACCACTAAGGCAAATCCATAGCACCAGGTCTACATAAATTATCTCATTGATGGTGTTACTACTCAAAGTGTAATTAACATTTATTAAGAGTTAATTACACTTTTGGTCATATAATTATTGGGATCTTGTTAATTTTAATCCACAATTTTCAAAACTAACAATTGAGTACTCTAACTATTGAATTTTGGTCCATCCAGTCAAATTGCGAGTGAAAAGTGGCCGTAAAATTTTAAAAGATAAAATCTTGAGGGAAATTTTGTCATTTTACTTCTATTCTTCTGGAGGATAAATTGCCCACAAGATTTTATCATTTAAAATTTTTCAGCCACTTTTGACCAGCAATTTGACCGGATGGACCAAAATTAATAAAAATTAAATAGTTATGGTACTCAATTGTTAGTGTCATCTTTTTTTATTAGATTTGCAGTAGCTTTGCAAGTAAGATCAAGCAAGATATTAACGTTAAGAATATTAGCGGCCATTATGAAATCCAATACTGTTTTATGGTCAACGTTGATGAATTAGCATCGAAATCCTTAAGATCATCCTTGCTAGTCTTTGCGGCTTCTGCATGCGATTTGCAATACTCTATAGATTATGGATTATGGAATATTGAAAAATTATTTGGACTGCGGACCGACAGCCTCCTACCTCCATAAGCACACTTTCAAAATATAAAATCTTATTTTCTCAAATTGTGGTATATAGTTATGGAAAATACTCATATTTATTACCGATTTACCGTGCCATTTTACGATTTTACCGCCCGGTGGACCAACTGTTACACAACCAAACAATGCCAACAAATTCTAAACACATGGGGTGATATAATATTGTTTTTTACAACAACTTCTAATCCGCCATACTTCAAAAATACATTATTGTTCCAAATTTTGTCTCCGCCCAAACCCTGCCCCCAATTTTTGTTTTCTCCTATTTGTGTGTGACAAGAAAAATCGACAACTATTATTTAAAAATAAATAAAGTCTACTTTTATTTTATATAATAGCTTGGCCCTTAACCTTACCCCGATGTAGTTATCGATTCGGTTTTGATTTTGAATTAGAGTCAATCTCAAAAGATAAAGTGTAGTTCAGATTTTGCCATTTTAAATAAGATATAGAATTTGATTAGGATTTAGATAAATTTTATCACATGATATCCGAATCAAGTTTACATTCAAATATACCCTAATTTAAAATATCAAAATAAAAAACTAATCAGATTCGTCCACAATTTAGAACTCATTGCTAAGGCTATAATATTCATAGACCAATACTTGGAAATCCTATTATTGTACGTTTAATTATTGTTGTATAAGTCCCATTATATCACCATCACCATACCACTTATTATTATTATTATTATTATTATTATTATTATTATTATTATTATTATTATTATTATTATTATTATTATTATTATTATTAAACAAATAATATGTTCATTTTCAGGAAAATGAACCAAATATAAAAAATATAAATTCTTAACTTTCGGTCAAATAGAAAAAGATAGTTTCCAAACAAATTCTTAATTTCAAAAAGTGAAAAAAAAAAAAAAAAATCTAGAGTTTGATCGAAGAATTGAATTCTATAAAATTACAATGCCTCAAACAAATTTAAGAAAGTGCAAATCTCACATCCCTCTATGAATTGCAATTACAAGGACATTTTGTCTTTTTACTATTTATTATTTTTTCCTTTCAATTCCGTATTTATTCCCACCTTATTCATTTTCCATAAAATTACAATTATTTTTCCCACATAATCCCCTCCTTACAACTAAAGAGATTGTTAAAGTTTCAAGATTGACAAAAATATTCAAAAAAGTGTAAATAACTTGAAATTTGTAATGTCTAGTTCACTTTAGAGTTTCATATATAATTTGTGTAACCTTTTTCACATTGTTCAATTATGTGATTTTTTTTATTTTTATTTTTAATACTATTGACTCTATTATAGGGTAATATTTATTCTATACTATTATAAGGTAATATTTATTTTATACTTTCTCTAACTATTGCAACCCAAAGAGTCAATACTCCACCATCGGAGTTTAATCTTGTGACCTTCTCTCAGGAGGAGCCACAGAGGTGCTGTTCAATTATGTGAATTAGAACACTAAGTATATAAGTTAAAACAAAGTGCGCCTCATATACCCATTTGTTTTGCTTAGTTTTGTCTCACAATGGTTGAATATATAAATTGAAACCCTTTATTTATTTTGGTTATGTTTAATATAAGATGAGAATTAAAAGCATATGTAATTAATGATGAGAATTAGCCTCAAGATAGCAAAGTACTCACCGTACCTTAAGAGGGAAAAGAAATGTAATTTCATAAATAAAATAAAATAAAAATAAAGTAGAAATTCAAATATTGTACCATTGTTTGATAGGCATAAATAAAATTACATAAAATTAAAAGAAAAGAGTGAATAAAGACTAAAATGTTCATAATAATAATAATAATAATAATAATAATAATAATAATAATAATAATAATAATAATAATAATAATAATAATAATAATAATAATAATAATAATAATAATAATAATAATAATAATAATAATAATAATAAATTAAAAAAAAAAAAAAAAAAAAAAAAAAAAAAAAAAAAAAAAAAAAGAGGAAGAAGAGCAAAGTTGTCATTTACAGTGAAATTTCAATTTTGTAAACTGTGAAATCACAATTTTGAAGGGACCTAGGAATTCCAATTCCATGATTCGAAAGAATTGCAATTCCGTGAAATTTTTCTCTAACCAAACAATGAAATTGTAAATTCCATGAAATTTGGTGAGAATGAAATTGCAATTTCACCCTACCAAACGCCCAATAAAAGTAATGGAAAATAATGTAGACCAAAGCAATGAAATTCACCACTCTTTAACTAAATCAAGAAACAAAACAGCTAAACTAGATTGCACCTTTTCTCTATTCTTGTTGTAGTGTATATATTCTATTATAGTACTCTGTTGATCATACATATAATATACAATTGAATTGTATCTCATTCTATTTCATCAAACATCCTTGTACTCTTCAAATCTAAACCATGTTTACATCTTATCTTAATCTCATAGCCTAAACAATACACTATATTCCAACACCACAACAAACCTCAATCTCCCCTATTCCTTCTTTCCAAAGAAAAAATCAAGAACAAAAGCACGGAAATTCTGTTGCCGTGTAGCATGAAGTGTTTTTAGTGTCCTGTCTGGAAGTGAATCGAGTCGGTCCAGTTCTGAGCGAAAGATATGCTAGTTGGTGCAGTCGAAGCCGTGGCAAACAGAAAGCCAGATTATGAGTACCAAAAAGACGATGATTCCTAGTACGACCAACTTTATTTTCATGTTCTGATACCACATCTTGCGACGGATTTCTGTCCCCTGTTTCTTGAATTGTTTGGCCTGGAAATAAGATATAATGCAAAGGAGATGTTTACTGAACTCATTACATGTTTTTGGAGGATATTTTGTCACAAAATACAGGTAACCCTACCGAATTATGTAGATCTTCTGCCTTGTTGGTAAGTATAGTCAAGTTCTCCCCTCGTTCAATAGTCTGGAACATATAAAGACGTCAAGTGGACAAGAAACATTTGCATTGCTCTACGTATTGTAAACGAAAAGGCACTGTCCACGTTTACGAAAGGCTATAGAAGTGCAAGCGTATCATTAGAACAATATAATATTGCCAGATGATAATGGAGATCGACTAAACGTCACATCCAATGCACAATGGGGACTTCTTTAACAAAGTTGATTTATGACAGTGTTGAAGTGGAGATCATGTTGGGCATCAGCCGAACTGGTTAATGTCCACCTACTTATCACCAATTGGTTTTAAGAAGGATATGGCAACCAGATAACCAAAGAACTCTATGATTACCAAAATTAACAATTCCAAGTTGAATTATGGTTGGCTCAGCTTGGTATGCTAGATCAACCAAACACGGGAATGAAATTTGAGGTCATAATCATGATTCCATTCCGACCTAATTCTTAGTACCAAACAAAGCCTAAGTTTATTTGCCATACCTTGTCTATATTCTCGAGCATAATGCTTTTGACTTCTGAGACCTGAGCCTTGACTTTTAGTAGTTTCTCGATTTCATCTGCATGCTCGATTATATACTTCATGTGCTCCTTCATAACAGGTCTGTAAATTTCGGGATATTTATTGTTATTGTTGCTACTCAGAAATAAAAATTTAAACTAAATGAAAAGAAATATAAAGAGTCGTAGATAAGAATGGCTCCTAGTATCAAAAGAACATACCCGAATTCTTTATTCAGACTCTTTGCAACAGCTGTATCTGCTTTACCACCGCCATATCTTTTCTTAAAATCTGCTTTTACACGTTCCAAAAATGCAATGGAAATTTGCTTGCCAACCGAGTCTTTGGCAACAACACAATAAGCTGACACGTAAAAACATCATCTCAACAAACTTGCAACGATCTTTGGAATCTCATTCAAATAATTCTCAATTGGCGGAAATTTACATACCAATACGACAGCCAATAAAAAGGGTCTCGAACCTAAGACCTCATGTGTAGAGTCTCATACCTAGGCTACAAGCCCTTAACTAAGGCTCCCTTTGGGAGAGCAGATAAAGAATATCCCAGAAATACTTGCCCTGAACCTTCTAAATTGATTTCCCAACAATTTTCACCAATTCTTTTCTTGAAGAAGTTAGTATAATAAATTTCTCAATCCCTAATCAAGAACTACATTCACAAGCCATTTCCAATTACCCTAGTTTATAACCAAAGCCAAATGCTCAAAACCTTCCCAGCAGCATTTGGATATCTTGCAAGTTTTTGCTACAACAACTGCATGCTACACGTAATTCATATCTGAATATACAACAGATTGATAAGCAAGAAAATAGCCCATACATACATCTCACTTCTCAGTAAACTAACTAAACATATTGGCCATGCTAAATCAATGCAGGAAGATCATAAAGATTTTAAGTTATACAAATGAATCTTTGCCATGCAACCTCAACTAAGGTTTAATTTAGGGTGTGTTTGGTTCATGGGTTAGACACAAGGAATGGTAATGAAAGTCATACCTATTGTTTGATTGACAACTTTTTAAAACACAGGTATTGTATTTGATTACCCCTATAATTACAAAACTCATTACCTAATTTAAATCAGATATCATTCCATTAATTCAGTCTTATCCCTCCTCACTTCATTGACTTCCTCACTGCATTGCCTACTCACTTTATCATCACTCTTAACATCAATTGCCTCTATTTTTTATTTTTGTATTTTTAAAACCTTTAATCCGATTATAATGTCATACATAACCAAACATCTCATTCCAATTCCAACCTACTACCAAACCATCAAAACACTTTCACCAAAACTCATTCCAATTACAAAGTATTTGATTCCCATTCTGATTCCAGAGTCCCATGTTCCAACCAAACACACCTTTAATGTCCACCACCACTTCCCAACAACACCAGAAACAGCAGCAACAGAAATTAAAAATTAAGCTGTATCAAGTTTAGTAACTATTTTCCATCATAAAGATCAAAACCTCAAAAGCAGACCCTAAAATCCACATAGGATAAAGATTCAATCTTTAGCTAAAAGATGTTAGATCCAACAATCCCCACTTGAAGTTCAACCAGAATTCCCCCACCTCCCCAGAAATCACAGCAAAACGAAAGAGATCAACCGCTCAAAATTAAAAGAACAATAAAAAACCAGACAAACAAGAAGGATTACCATAACCATCCTCGAGAAGGAAGTTAAAAGTGTGGTGATCACAGTTGTAAGTGAACTTGTTGTTCGAAGATGGCAGCTTTTGCAGACACTGAACCGCAATCGCCGGGAAGTTTCCGGTGAACTCCGTGTACTCCGACAGTACCATAGTTCCCCGAGCCACAAAGCTGTATATGAACGATTCTTGGCCCATCTCTCACTCACCCACCACCGAAGCAAAAATTGAAAATCAGAAAATTGTCTTAAAATTATGCAATCAAAAAGATGTTTTACTTTGTTGGGAAGTTATTATTACAACGTTCTAGAAATTATAAAATATTAAATGCAACAGAAGGCCCACAAACGGCGCCATTCTCTTTGGTTTAATTTTAGAAAAATGGAGCCAACTTGACATTTTGTAATTTATAATTAAAAATTAATAATATTTTTTGGAAGAATATTATAGATTTAGTTTGACACTTTGACGACGTAAAGAAAAGAATAGACTTTATATGACTTTATACCCTATTGGGGCGGTAGTAAAAATAATAATAATTTCAATATTTCATGAATAAAGGTTCTTCATACAATTATATCAAATAAAGTAATAAACTAAAACGATATATATTCTAAACTCTAAAGTTCTGCTAGTATCTAAATTTATATATGTATTTTACTCAAATGCCCAAGGACTCTCTTTACGGATCTCTTCTTCTTCCTCAGGTGTGAAGTCATTTTGAATGTTAAAAATTTTGCGAACCTCCTCCACTGTCTTCTTCTCGATCAGATTTGCAACAGCTTGGGCGGTAAGATCAAGCAAGCTCTTAACGTCAAGGAAATTAGCGGCCAAGATGAGATCTAATAGAGTTGTATGGTCAACTTTGATGAAATTAGCATCAAAGTCCTTAAGATCATCCTGGCTAGTCTTTGCAGCTTCGGCATGCGATTTGCAATACTCTATAACCTTAGCCAAGATCTTGCTTGTCACGTTGGCGATGGGAATGGCAGTGTCCACACAGCCATCGTCAATCATGTACTTGATCGTCTGCATCTCAAGAGCCACCGCCTCTTCTACCTCGAATATCTCTCCGTCGGAACTCTTCAATGTTATCATCTTGATGGAAGACATGATCAATTTCGTTTACTTTGCTAAATCGTGAGGAATTGTAAATTAAAACAATAGAGGATTGGTGCTCTTCAAACATATGAGAATCCTTTTATAAGTACCATCATTCAACCTCTTTGTTTAGAAATAGGAATCTTAATTCATATAGAATTTGACAACTTCTAATTATGGTTGATTTGTTTCCTATTTTGATTCTAAATAATAATATGAATTCATCTAGAATTGGACAACTTCTAATTATGGTTGATTTTTTTCCTATTTTGATTCTAAATAATAATATGAACTCATCTAGAATTGGACAACTTTTAATTAAGACTATTTTTCCAATTTTGGTTCTTAAAGGAGCCTAAAATCCTTTTATACATATGAGACTTGTATGGAATATTAAAGGTCAATTTGAAAATTATTTGGACCATCGATCGGCAACTTCCAACTTTCGTAAGTATATTTTTCAAATATAAAATTTAAAAAAATTGTAATTTAGGTTCCTCTATAATATGTCAAATATTAATGTCACTTTTGAATTATGAGTTAGGTAAATGTTGAGCCTCAATTTTCCTTCGATACAATAATATACAATATATATACCATTTTAAAAATTGAAAGACAACATTTAATCATTTCTACCACTAACAGAGCGTTTGGTTGAAGAGAATTTAAATTCCATTCCCTCTTAATTCCCACCTAATTCCAAAGGCCACTAAATTTCTTAGTTTGGTTGGAAGGAATTACAATTCCACGGAATTGCAAGTCTCTTATTTTCATGGAATTAAATCTCATGCACCCCTTGGGTTTTTAATTCCATGAATTTTAGGAAAAAAAAAAGATAATGATGAGACAAAATTATCCTCTTTTTTTTTTTTTAAACCTAAAATTGATGTCTGACAACAACAATATAATGGACATTTTGGACTTTATTCTACTTACTAGTTATGACACGCGCTTTGCGCGATTAGACTCATGCCCAATGTGTATTTATAAATTAGTGTTCCTTAATTGGTCGAAGTATTCATATAATAATGAGAGAGAGAGAGAAAAATGCGAAATTAATAAAAGATAAAGAAATAGTCTTGGTGCTTATATATTTTATTAAAAGATAAAGAAATTTGAAATAGCTAAATTAGAATTAAAGTAAGTAAAAACAAATAAACCACTAACTAAAGCTGACTATGTATAATGAAAAGAGTAGTAATTTGAGCAGAGTAAATTAAACTTTCTTAGTGCGTGTTTGTTGAGGCTCGAAATTGTCTTCATCTTCTCCATCTTTAGTGAAGTTGAGTTTCCTTTCTGCTGATTGTGTGTTTATTGCATGTTGTTTACTTGTGGTAATGAATGAGAATGAATCATGCAATGATGTTATGGTATATGATACCATGTTTTGCCTTGTTGTGTGTAGGATTGAGATGGGGAAAAAATCTTAATAAGATTCCTCCATAGTTGGCTCAGCATCAATTATATGACCACAAGGCATAACAAATAGGATATGTTAAACCATGATAATCCACGATGCTACACATTCACTACATAATATACTACTCAGCCAAAACATATAATTCAATTTGATGATAAAGGATCTCTTCTCTCTTTTTCAAACAGAGAGTTTCTGGGTAATGCACATTCAGTATGGGCCATGAAGAAATTAAAAAGTTAGAAAAAATGAAAGCTTTATACAGGCACGACTTCAATAAATGTAATGAAGACGAATTGGCAATTCTTCTATGTTGTCACTGGCTGCATCATCAACAATGGAGGCAAGTATTTAAAACAAAATGGGATGAAAAGCATATGTATTCAACTCATAAAAAGCAAGTATTTAAGACAAAGTGTGATGAATAGCATATGTATTAAACTCATAAAAAGCAAGTATTGCAATGTTGAAAAAGGTATTAACATTTGACCTGTTGTATTTGGTGTAAAAAAAGACAGATAAATTACCTTAGCGGGACTCTGGTTAAATAGTAAGTCCCTCAAGAGTGATTTGTCCAGGTCAATGGCAGTTGGGGGATTGTTGTTCCCATTGGCATAAATAAATAGTTGAGCTTGTTGCATCAGATCATTCGAATCTGTCTGCAATACCGCATAACAGTGAGTGAAGCATACCAGGCTTATATACACGTTCAACTTAGCAAAGGACAAAGAAATGGAGAGAAATCAAGTTGTAGAAAACAAACTGAGTGTAAAAACAATCTATTGCCCACAAATTATTCAATAGAAGTGATAACGCATACCTTTTGAGAGAACATATCCAGGGTACTCTGCCCACTGGTCAACATAGCCGCTGCAATGAAAACAGCTTTTGAGATTTTAGCAGGGAAAAGCTCCATAGCATATGATATACAAGCACCACCAAAATCATGCCCTACCAAAATCACCTGTATGTTCAAAAAGAGTAAGTACAAAGAAAACAATAAGCTTAATACTAAAAATCGGTCAAAATGAGAACAAAAATTGAGACCTTTTTTTTTTTTTTTTTGGTCTTTAATAATGAAAAGATTAGCCATTAGATATATGCAGAAATCAAATATATAGCTATTGTTAGTAATCCTATCCACAATCCTTATACATGGCTCACAAGGCCAAGGCTTATTATCAAAATTCTATGGTGCCCATATTGCAGAATTCATAAGCAGACAATTGTAAAATCCTATATATACAGCCATTCAGGCATTCAAGATTTATTTCAAAGCATAAAAGAACATAGAAAAATTCACAAAGGTAAAAGAAAGCTGAAATGAATAAAATAACCTTCTCTCCATCATGAGGTAATCATTCAAATTCCAATTCCAACCTACTACCAAACGTACAAAATACTTTCACCAAAACTCATTCCAATTACAAAGTATTTGATTCACATTCCGATTCGGAGTCCCATGTTCCAACCAAACACACCTTTAGGGGCCGTTTGGTTCACGGAATATTAGATTACCTTAGGGAATGTTAGATTGCTGGGAATGTTAGATTACTGTGTTTGGTTAAAATTGAGGTATGTTTGGTTATGCAAGGTTATCTTACAATTAGAATTAAAGTGACAAAATTCATAAATATGCAAGGTTATCTTACATTACCTAACAAAATGAAGAGAATCACATTCCCTTCAAAATCCTATGTGGAGGGAATGTTGCATTCCCTGGGAATGTTATATTCCCTCAGAGAAAATGAACCAAACATAGGAATGTAAGCTCGGGAATGTCACATTTTTTTGGTTATATAATATAACCTGAACCAAACGCCCCCTTAATGTCCACCACCACTCCCCAACAACATCAGAAACAGCAACAAAAGTTAAAAATTAAGCTGTTCTACACTTGTACCTATTGGTGCCTATATCAAGTTTAGTAACTATTTTCCATCATAAAGATCAAAACGATTCTTGGCCCATCTCTCACACACCCACCACCCAAGCAGAAATGGAAAATCAGAAAATGATCTTAAAATTATGCAATCAAAAAGATGTTTAACTTTGTTGGGAAGTTATTATTACAACGTTCTAGAAATTATAAAATATTAAATGCAACAGAAGGCCCACAAACGGCGCCGTTCTCTTTGGTTTAATTTTAGAAAAATGGAGCCAACTTGACATTTTGTAATTTATAATTAAAAATTAATAATATTTTTTGGAAGAATATTATAGATTTAGTTTGACAGCAGTCCCGTGATAGAAGTTCTCCAGAAAGAGGAGTTCTTTTTCTTTCATAAGAAAAGCACCTTTTCTTAGTAAAGCGGCCCTGGACTTCTTTGACAACGTAAAGAAAAGAATAGACTTTATACCCTATTGGGACGGTAGTAAAAATAATAATAATTTCAATATTTCATGAATAAATGTTCTGCAATACAATTATATCAAATAAAGTAGTAATAAACTAAAACGATATATATCCTAAAGTTCTGCTAGTATTTAAATTTATATATGTATTTTACTCAAATGCCCAAGGACTCTCTTTACGGATCTCTTCTTCTTCCTCAGGTGTGTAGTCATTTTGAATGTTAAAAAATTTGCGAACCTCCTCCACTGTCTTTTTCTCGATCAAATTTGCAACAGCTTTGGTGGTAAGATCAAGCAAGCTCTTAACGTTAAGGAAATTAGCGGCCAAGATGAGATCTAATAGAGTTGTATGGTCAACTTTGACGAAATTAGCATCAAAGTCCTTAAGATCATCCTGGCTAGTCTTTGCAGCTTCGGCATGCGATTTGCAATACTCTATAACCTTAGCCAAGATCTTGCCTGTCACGTTGGCGATGGGAATTGCATTGTCCACACAGCCATCGTCAATCATGTACTTGATCGTCTGCATCTCAAGAGCCACCGCCTCTTCTACCTCGAATATTTCTCCGTCGGAACTCTTCAATGTTATCATCTTGATGGAAGACATGATCAATTTCGTTTACTTTGCTAAATCGTGAGGAATTGTAAATTAAAACAATAGAGGATTGGTGCTCTTCAAACGTATGAGAAATCCTTTTATAAGTACCATCATTCAACCTTTTTGTTTAGAAATAAGAATCTTAATTCATATAGAATTTGACAACTTCTAATTATGGTTGATTTGTTTCCTATTTTGATTCTAAATAATAATATGAACTCATCTAGAATTGGACAACTTCTAATTATGGTTGATTTTTTTCCTATTTTGATTCTAAATAATAATATGAACTCATCTAGAATTGGACAACTTTTAATTAAGACTATTTTTCCAATTTTGGTTCTTAAAGGAGCCTAAAATCCTTTTATACATATGAGACTTGTATGGAATATTAAAGGTCAATTTGAAAATTATTTGGACCATCGACCGACAACTTCCAACTTTCGTAAGTATATTTTTCAAATATAAAATTGAAAAAAATTGTAATTTAGGTTCCTCTATAATATTTCAAATATTAATGTCACTTTTGAATTATGAGTTGGGTAAATGTTGCGCCTCAATTTTCCTCCCATACAATAATATACAATATATATACCATTTTAAAAATTGAAAGACAACATTTAATCATTTCTACCACTAACAGAGCGTTTGGTTGAAGAGAATTTAAATTTCATTCCCTCTTAATTCCCACCTAATTCCAAAGGCCACTAAATTTCTTAGTTTGGTTGGAAGGAATTAAAATTCCACGGAATTGCAATTCTCTTATTTTCATGGAATTAAAATCTCATGCACCCCTTGGGTTTTAAATTCCATGAATTTTAGGAAGAAAAAAGATAATGATGAGACAAAATTATCCTCTCTCTTTTTTTTATAAACCTAAAATTGGTGCCTGACAACAACAATATAATGGACATTTTGGACTTTATTCTAATTATATTCACTTTCAATTACCATATATACCAAATATTGGAATTGAAATTCCTGTAATTTTATTCAAATAAACCAAACACTAAAATTTAAATTCTCACTTTATTCTCAGTAATTTATCCCACATTAAATTACAATTTTTTCCCACGTAATTTCTTTCCTCCAACCAAACGTACCGTAATGATTTAGAAGTAACATTAATAATTTATATATTATTGGATGGATAAAATTACAATTTTTTCTAATCTTATTTTCTCATACTCGTATGAATTTTGTGAGCGAATCAAAATAGATATGTGCTGTATCTATATTAAATCTGAATTTTGGTACTGTATTATGAGCCCCTGTTGTTCTTTGTCCACTGTCCATTGCCGCTGCCCTAGCTTCAGGTACACCATTATGCCATTTGTCTTTTCTCGTTAACAAGTATTCCTAGCTATTTCTTGGGTTTCCATAAATTTCTTTACTTTTCATGTGCAATTGAAATTGAAATTGTGGGTTTTTTTTTTTTTGCTGTATCAAGATGTTGATGGCGGAAAGAAATCATTGCTCAATAATACAGATTAGAATAATAAAACTGTCCCCTTAAGATGCTGCCAAAATTATAGTTTTGATTGTTTTCTTTATGAGTAAATAGAATTCGAGATTTCACTGTGGTACCAAACTCTGAATCTTCAGTGTAGGGAGGGAGGGGTGGGGTGAGGGAGGGGGGGGGGGGGGGGGGGGGGGGCGGTGAGGAATCCCTGCTTCTGTGACTCTAGGTTGTTTCATAAGCTCAAGTGGAATATGAGTCCTTGCTTCTGCTTAGCAACTCTTTTTGGTTGTTAAGAGAACCCACAGCTCCTATCTGAGGTGTAAACCCCGTCTTGTCACCTTAAGGAGGTAAACCAGTCTAGGTTGCCTATAGCTGACTGGCTCGGCCAGGATTCGTACTCGTGACCTTATGGTTACAAGTTTGTATCCTTAGCCATATTGGCTGGGGTTACCACTCTGTTTAGCAACTCTTGCATGAAAAATATAGGTATATGGATACTCTTTCTAGTCTTCTTTGCTTCTGTGTACCTCTGAAAATCACAGTGTTTTATTTATCTATCCATTCATCTAATGATTCTAACTGAATAGGAGAATGTCTGCTTGGTTAATACTAGATCACGCTCAAGAGGGACTGATTTTGTATTGACTATTGACTGAGGTTTATGGAGCTCAATGTTTGATCACGTTCCAATGGTTAGCTGTACACAAAACATTTTTTTCCCTAAGCAATATAATATCCTATATATTATAACTGTGATTTTGTGCATTTTTACATATGTGATTGTGCTGTATTTGAGTTGACAATGTTGGGTTACAGTGGGAGCTCTGTATCAAAATCATGTGGCTTTAAATTGGATAATTGATTGTTGACATATGTAGCATAGTAAAAGGTCAAGTTTTGCTGTAATCTAGACAGGTATTCAATGAGTTATACTGCCAAATCCATTTTTTGAGTATGCCTGATCATGAATGTAAAGAAGTATGCAAAGCAATGGCATTTGCTGTAATCTACTAAAAGGTGAAGCTAATACATTGAAATTTTTTTGATGATCTTTTGTAAAAATTTCTAAGTTACCAAATTTGGCACTTTGAGATCTATTCTAATATCAACTCGAATTGCCTTTCAGTGGATTAGAGAACAATATCAAAGTAACCAGCTTTAGTAGTAGCTTCAGTTCATGACTTCATGGCTCCTTCACGAGAAAGAAGTACTCACTGCCAAGTATACAAGCATAAGTCCATAAAACACTTAGATTTGGCTCAAATCACTGATGCCGTAACCCAAAATTCTTGTCCAATATGTCTTTGTAAAATCAAGCCAAGCCAAGCTGCATTGCTTCCATTGTGCAAGCATGCCTTCTGTGCTGACTGCATCCACAAGTGGAGTGATTACAAGCGTACTTGTCCACTTTGCAAAGCGGGATTTGGCTCTTGGCTTTTCCTAATTCATCTCTCTACTCGAACCCTTGAGAAGGAGAAATTTAAAAGCCCACTGGTTGATAGACCTCGCCCAGTAGGTTTTCCAGCGCGGCGAAGAAGCCATTTGGAAGAACCGAGGTATTGTTTTGACCTAGATTTGTTTTTTTTTTGTTTTTGTTTTTTTTTTTTTTTTTTCTATTTTGTGAAATCATTTCGGAACTTCTTTTTCCCTTAGTATTATGCTACTATATATGGTCTATATGAATTTAAAGTAGGAGAATGAAATTGTTAACATGGAGGGGAAAAATGTTAATCAGGTTAATTAGAAGAACAAGGGCAGAACTAACTACCCAATACTCGAGAACGGGGGTAATCCCGAGGAGGAGGTCATTTGGCCAATTGGAAGCTGCAAACCCCGGTGTCATTAGGGAGAGAACACTGCAATGGCGGGCCAGGTTGCTAATTCATATTAATCTTTTGCATCATTATAATCATATTAATTAAAATTAAAATTATATTTTCCGCGTATATGACATTGTTCATATGCTTCTTGCAGCATATATGAAAGGAAATTGCAGGCTGTTCCTTTCTCATCCAAAAATCGTCTTATAGAGGTATAACATTTATGCATCAGAAAATTCTTGCAATTATCAGATTAACTACTACTGTCTTGTTTTAGTTAGGGGTTTTGCGTTACATTCTTTAAGTCTTGGGGACTAATATTTTCAATAATTAACTTCCAGCAAATGGAACACAACAATAGTGCCAAAGCTATGGTAATGCAAAGAATAGAACCTTGGATAAAAAGGGAGTTGGAGGCTATTCTTGATGACCCCAATCCATCTGTTATTTTCCATGTTGTCACCTCACTTTTTGTCTCGGGAAATGAAAGAAGGGACCACGCTACTTCTGACTTTCTTGCTCCTCTGCGGCCTTTCTTGCATGAAAAAACAGAAATGTTTTGGCATGAGCTTAGGTAAACACTAAACACCATTGTATTTAAATGAACTCCATGCTTGCTTCATTGTTACTGGCAATAATGTTTGAATGGTTGGTTCAATGTGTTTGCAGATGTTTTGCCGAGAGCCCTCTCGCCCTCGAGACATATGATACTGTGGCGGAGTATAGATCATTGAACCGAACTTAGATGGAATGATAATAGTCTAATGGTGTAATAGCCAAAAGAATGCACTGATTTCTTGATCTTTCCTCAGATCCCACAACATGAATATGCAAGGGGTGAGCTTGGAACAAAAATGTTTTTCTGTCTGCCCTGATTCGTCTGCTGCTCAGTGCGTTTATGAAAAGCATTTTATGTGGGCCAACTTCAATGCAAATAATGATGTAGTATTATATGGAAGATTGGACGGATTTTGATTAACTATGCATGCATGTGAAGTGCTACTTTTAGTAAAATCATGACAGATGAATTCTCGTGTCTCAAAACAAGTTGGGAGGGTGATAACTTAAGGAAGACGCGCCTCCTAGACTGCGAGGATACCCCGAGTGAGGGTAAGTAATGTGAATTGTGATGATTATTTTGCAAATCTTGGTGAAGAGGTCATAAAAGAACTTCATTCTTGTTCTTACATGAACTCCATATTTGGTTTTAGACTCCAGGTTTTCTTTGTTCACTTGTAGAATCATATTTCTCCAGAGTTGCCCGCATGGGTAGCTCAACTGGTCATAGAGGTGAAATTTTGAAAGAATGACCAGGGATCGAGTCTCACTAGCGGCAGTGTGGGAGCAACCTCTCAAAGTGAGGGGGGCTTCTTGTGCACAGTGAGCACCGGTCTAGCCTCTGTGGTTCATGTTCGGTTGAGTCACCATGATTTACATCCTCCCAAATGCTCTGTCGGGCCGGGGTGTGGGGGGCCCTTAGGGTTGGTGTTCAACCTTTTAGAAGAATATTACTCCAGAGTTTTAGAGGTGTAGTAGTAGTGTTTGTTTTGTTTTGTTTATCATTTTAATCTGCTTTCTATACAATTGAGATAAGTCTGTGCGGGCTAATCTTGCAAACATTTTAATCTTGTTTGGGTGTTGAGTGGATAAAGTACATGTGAGGTTATATGCTTTTGTGTATTTTAATTTTTTTGCAATTGTACATCAATTATACCAAGTACTGGAATCCTTGGCCCAAAAAGGCTTTTTTGAATTTGTACATTAAAATCCTTGTTTTGTTCAATTACTTACATTATCAAACTCATCTTAGAGGTTATGTAGACTTCTAAGGAAAACATTGTTGTGAAGATGTGTTATGCCAACTCAAATTTTATTGTATTAATATTTATTAATAATTAATCTAATCACTAACATATTAATATTATATTTTACAAAATAAAAGATAATTGTCCTGTTTGGTAAAGTAATTAGTTTATTATTCAATTTTGACTTATTTGATCATTACTACTAGTTGTTTGATTTGATTAAACAATTAATATGAGTGTTTGATTAATTAACTTATTGTAACAACTTATTCTTTCAAAAAGTTACTCAAAATAGTTTTTTCGATTAGCTTTCCGAGAAAGTCATTTTGTATATAATCAGTTAACAGTTAATAACTAATTTACCAAATACTTTTCTACAATCAACTACTATTATCAGCTAACAGCCGTTTATCAAACACCCCCAAAGTAATCAATTTGTTATCAGTGTATCACTCTGCATATATCTAACATGTTAATATTATATTTTGCAATATATATATATATATATATATATATATATATATATATATATATATATATATAAAAAAAAGAAAAGATATGGTAGATGCATGTGCATTGTAAAAGTAATGGAAAAATAACAGAAGTTATAACGGTAAGGATATTTTTGTCCAAAAAATTGTATAGTTCAACTCTAAAAGCACAATGTATAAAATAGTTAGCATTAAAAACATGGACAAAAATTAGGGATATAACTTTGATTGATACTTATTATGTTTTTAGATTTAGATTAGATATATATATCCATTCAAATTAGAATAAACCCTTATAACAAAAAATGATACCAAATTATAATGATAGAAAAATTAATAATAATGATTAAACTTTAAATTTTCAATTCATTCTTATATGTAACTTTTTAACAATTAATATTTAAAAATGTTCGTCGTTCGGGATGGTGTTAAGGGATCACAATGGTGGATTTATTGCGGCTTATGGCGGGAGATTACCGGGTGTAACAGGTGCTTATCTTGCGGAGGCCTTAGCGTTTAAGGAAGTTCTTTCTTGGTTGAAGAATCGTCCCATGTTTTTTTATTTTGTTGAGATAGATTGTATGAATTTATACATTAGTTTTAATTCTAGTTGTCTGGATCTGTCTTATGTTGGTCTGGTAGTTAAGCAATGTAGAGACATTGCAAGTGACATAGGGAATGTGCGGGTTCGCCATGTCAGAAGGTCAGTGAACCGTGTAGCTCATGCGTTAGTCTGAACAACTGGTTTAAACTCTGTCCTTGCTGTGTGGGAGGCTATCCCACCACCTTGTATTGCGGATTTGTTTTGAGTTTATTGATTGGATTTCTTTCAACAAAAATATTTAAAAATGTTTATTTTTATTTTTTAAAAGTTGTCAATAAATTAAGTATAAAATAAATTGAATTCAATAGGAAGATAACACAACAACGTAGTGCAATTATATCAAACGAAATAAATTTATTTATTATTATGTTATTGACAAATTTATTATTATGATATTGATCCTAAAATCCTATTAGCTTCTAAACCTGCAGAGCAGAAATGCAATTTCTGATCATTGAACTTTTAATGTTTATGTGGTTACTCAACAAATAATAATGTTAGGAGTTAACAAATGAGGAGGATAATTATTTTCCTTTAATTAATTGTTTAGAGCTAGGACTGCTTGAAGTTGACCTGATGGGTGCCTGCAGGGAATTGAAATGATTTAATTGATTTTTATTAGAAAAATACTGTATCAACTTTCATTTTATACATTTAACTTCTATATTCTTCCTCACAAACTTTTATTGTATACCTTTGTTGTAGGCTCACATAATAAAATATTTAAGTTTTACTACATGCACTTTCAAATTCTATTAATTTTTTTTTTTTGGAAAACTCCCAAATTCTATTGATCTATCACTAATACTCTATGATGTGATAACTAAGAGTATATAAGATACATTTTTGTTACGTGAGTTCCAAAAAAAATGTCTACATCAAAAATTTGTAGAAGTGAGAAAAAGTAAAAAGTGAAAGTTCATAAAATATTTTTTAAAATATCCTATATTGTTTATCACATCATAAAGTAAAAGTAAGAGAGTAGAATTTAAGATTAAATGTACTAAAACTCTCTTCATTATTCATCATTATATTGGCCCATTACTTCCATGAGGGCATTTACAACCTAAGTCTTCTCTTTGGTTTTTTAGTAATGTGATGAAGCCGAGGGAAGAAAAATAAAGAGAGAAGAAAATGAATCTCAACAAACTTACACAGCATGAGCGATGAGCCTTAAATGACTCAGTCCTGGTAAAGGAAAGCATAAAATATGGGAAGATCTAGTGAACCTCTAAAACGATAAAATAATGCTAATTGCTAATATAACAATCTATTCAAAATTCTTGTTTATGGATGCTCTAAATGCAGATAAGCACCACCCTACTGATGAGTCTAAAAAACTTTTAGCACGCTTTAGTTAGGAATTAAAAACATTCCAGATTGATATTCAAAATTCTTAAAAACACGCTTTAGTTACACATATTTCATATTTGAATATACAACAGATTGATAAGCAAGAAAATAGCTCAAACATACTTCTCATTCTTTGTAAACTAACTAAACATATTGGCCAATGTTCAGTGGCGGATCCAGGAATTTTTTCAGTGGGGACAAAATGTTAAAGCAAAATTGATAATTAGAAAAAAAAAAAAATGAAACACTTAAAAAAGTATAGCCATAAATAATGTTGGATATAGAAAAATTATAAAACACATCAAAACATTATAAAAATATTCATAACAAAATATGAACATAATCAATTTGATAAAATAATTTGAATAAAAGATCCATTATAAATTACACATCTCATCTCATTATTAATATAAATGAAGATTATATTATTGTGTTGAAGCAATATGCACTATTAATAATAGTGAAAATGTGAAATAATGAAAAAAGATAGTCTTAATAGTGAAAATGTGAAATAATAAGAAAAGGAAATGTTGAAAGTAGATAAAATGAAATCGAACCTTGGCCTACCTACAAGCCAACCACACACCCAGCCAACTAGGCTAAGCCACATTCTATTAACAATTCTTTATTTTTTAATACTTATACTAAAACTTGTACTATATATACACATATACATACAAGAGTTATATAAGGGGTGGGGGTGGGGTGAGTGGGGGCAGCTGACCCCACTGCCCTCACTGTAGGTCCACCCCTGGCCATGCTAAATCAATGCAGGAAGATCATAAAAGATTTTAAGTTAAACAAATGAATATTTGCCATACAACCTCAACTAAGGTTTAATTTAGGGTGTGTTTGGTTCATGGGTTAGACACAAGGAATGGTACTGAAAGTCATACATATCGTTTGATTGACGGCTTTTTAAAACACAGGTATTGGATTTGATTACTCCTATAATTGCAAAACTCATTATTCAATTTAAATCAGATATCATTCCATTAATTCAGTCTTATCCCTCCTCAATTCATCGCATCCTCATTTCGTTGCCTCCTCACTTCATCGACTTCCTCATTGATTGCCTACTCACTTCATCATCACTCTTAACATCAATTACCTTTATTCTTTATTTTTGTATTTTTAAAACCTTTAATTCGATTATTATTTTAAAAAAAAAAACCTTTAATTCGATTATAGGGTCGTACATAACCAAACATCATGTAATCATTCCAATTCCAACCTACTACCAAACCAGCAAAATACTTTCACCAAAACTCATTCCAATTACCAAGTATTTGATTCCCATTCCGATTCCGAGTCCAATGTGTAAGATTTTCCCTAATATTATATATTATATATTAAGGCCTTAATTAAGTGGTGCAAGTGGACTAGGCTTGTTAAGTGGTCTGGTTGGACTGAATAACTAGAAGTTGTTAGTCCACCAAACTATGTGCCTAATATAATTCCGGATTGATGGGATACAAGATGATTGATGTTAGCACATTCAGTTACGGTACTCAGACTGCTCAGTAGATACCAATACACCATCTAGGGTTCTGAGTCAGGTCTGAGGCAAAACATGGCTAACGGTCTACCGTTAAGAGGCAACACAACAGGAACATCAACTATGGCTGGAGATCGACATGGCTATGCTTCCGCTATCATACGGGGTCAGGTTTCTCGTATACTATGATTTATTATAGTTAGATTATTTAGATCTAACATTTGGTATCAGAGCCTTTATAATCTCTGCCTGGTTGATTGTTTTGCCTAAAAACAATATTAAATTCTCATATACATCAAGTTTTTGTATATGCTTTGTATATTAATTCTTCAAAATCTGCATACAAAATATATCTATTTAGTCCGGATATAATTGAGCAATTTGACATTTGTGTTTTGATTGAATTTATTACAAATAATTGATTTTTTGGATTGTTGAAATTAAATTTCAACATTAAGA